TGTATCATTTGACAGGCATGCAGTATTATCCCAATAGGAGTTTAAGATGATAAAACAACAACTGAGAAAGAAAGCAGATTGAAATGGTTATATCATCATTAAACTTAGAGCACCCTCGGCTGTCACAGTGTTATTTGTGCTTTGCTGCAAGACTCAAATAAACAATTTTGAAAGTAAATGAATAAAAATTGTACTCTAAGTTAGAGAGGTGTTCATGACCCCAGATGTTATGGATTTAGAAGCTTTCACTGGCTGTCTTAAAATGAGGTATGTGTGTGTGCAATACAGACAATATTTTTAAAGCCTTCTTCCTTTCCCTTCTGCATAACTTCAGAGCTCTTAAAATGTTTTGTGCTGAAGAGACCATCTAAGGCAATTGGCTATACCTTCACAACACAGTAGTCAGATATAACACTGCTATGGTTGTGTTGTGTCAATCAGAAGCCAGAGAAATCTAGCTGGCATAGCACCAAGTGGATGCACACTTTTCAAGGCAGCAAAACTTGCACCAGGTTTTGGTTGGCCAGGGGAAGCAGTGCTGTCGCTCTACAGTAAGCCCAGTGGAAGGTCCCCTCTTTGTTTTATTTCATAGAATCACTGACTTGCAGGGGTTGGAAGGGTCCTGTTGAGATCACCACCCTTGCTAAAGCAGGTTCCCTCTAGAAGGTTGCACAGATAGGTGTCCAGGCAGGTCTTGAATATCTCCAGAGAAGGAGAGTCCACAACCTATCTTGGCAGCCTGTTCCAGTGCTCCATCGCAGTCTCTCCCGTAACAGTGAAGTGCTTCCTTCCATTAGTATGGAACTTCCTGTGTTCCAGTTTCTGCGCATTGCCCCTTGTTCTACTGGCGCTCATCACCAGAAGGAGCATACCCTCATTAACTTGGCTCCTGTACTTGAGATATTTCAGTCACCATGGAGAACACTTCAAGGTTTGTTAGATGATGCAGTGCATTGAGAAGTATTAGCAGTGCTTAGCAAACCACCTGTTCGTGTTGAAATATTCTTCTTAAACTAAAAACATGTTTAGGTATTCCTCTCAGCCTTGTTCTTAGGTAGCCAATAATGGAGTTGAATCCCCTTGCGCTATTTTGAGGATGTCTTGTCAAATCATGCATAGAATGATGTGACTAATTTGTAGGACAGAAGTCCCTGTGCATCAGCTGTTCACAGTGGTTTTCCTGGGGGTAAGGACTTACTGTGTTGAAAGACACTGATCATTCTTTTCAGCATATCAAAGAACAAATGTACTGTAGGGTTTTCTACTAAAAAGAAAAAAAAAAAAAACAAATGGCTTTTGTCTGTACTTCCATTATAACTGCATAAATCTCACTGATGCTAATGGGAGTTTTAGAAGCATAGATGAAAGACTGTCACACTGTCAGTGAGATATGGAGTAAAACAGAGCAGGACACTCTGCAGAAGCAGGAGGGTTGCATCCCCATAGGGGCACCCTGCAAGCATCTAGCTCAGCCTGCTTAGAATGAACTTTCAGCAGGCAAAACTAATAATCTCCAGAAAGAAGTTCTTAACCAGTGGCAAATTCATTGGATTGCAGACTAGCTGAACACTGAGCTGTGCTGCTGCCCAGATAGAGAAAAGGGAGTTGAGGCTCTGCATCAGCTCTGCCATGAAGTTTGTGATGGAAGACATCCAAAAGAATAGTCCAGAAGTACTGAGGATATGAAACAGGAGGAATTGATGAGTCTTTGTGCTGAGCTAAAGCTTAAACCGGGAGGCTCACCTCAAAGGGTTGGAAAAGGGAGGAGGAAGAGTGGTAAAAAGTTCAGGAGGCCAACTTGGAGGATTCCCGTAGAGATTAAGAAAGAAAAAAAGAAAAATAGCAAAGAGCACGTTATCAGAAGTATGTAGAAATACGTGATGAAGCAGAAAATTAGTGAGGAGAAATAAACTGAGTTGTAATGGCTGATCACAAATGATAACGTTATCATTGTGAGCAGAAGGGGAAGGAAGTTCTGAGGGGTGGACCCTAGGAAAGCGTTAACAAGCGTGGTCTGATACCAAACACAATTATTTATTTCAGTGTAAGCCACAGTACTGAGGAAGTCAGCAAAACATAGCTTTGCTCCTCTAAAATACTGTGTGAATTCTATCCAAGTTCCATTGATGAACACTTGAAAACATAAATTAAAAGCACCAGACATGCTGGCACCAGTAATTGCCTAGATACTACTCAAACACTAGGAGGTTTAAATTTTATATTTTATTTCACTGTTTGTCTTATTTAGTGGTGTAATATACAGATTGAAAATTAAAAGCTGAGAAATAAATGAATAGCTTACACTCAAAGGCTTCTCTGAAAGGAAAAATACGTAAGGAATGGTTTTGATCAGAACATTCCCCAGGATCCCACCTCTGGGTGCAGTTCTTGTACCTCTTTTTGCTATCCTAGCTCTACATACTCAACATGGCTTTTAAACACACGTCAGAAAGGCTCTACTGTTTTACTTCTCATTTTCGTGGGGTTATGTGATACCACCTTTACTGGCCCATAGTCTCTCAATGGTCTGTATTTTCTTTCTGGACAAACAGCATACCTGGGACTTGCGCTTCTGAAAAAGGACTGTGTTACAATCTGATGTACTCTTAAGTCCACACAGGAAAAAAAAAAAAAAGGAGAGTTATCATTTCAGCTTGGAATATTCATAGTAAATAGAAAAACAGGAGTCGTGTGATTCTTACTGCTCAAAGGAAGTCCGTGAGCAGGAATCCTGAGCACGCTGAAATAAAGATAAGTTCAGAAGGACTGAGGAAGTGATGTTGAAATGTGTGTAATTCTACTTGTATAGAAGCTAGCCAGGCTACAGTAGAAAAGACTGGGAGTGACTTGAAAGTATCCCTGCTGCTCTGATAGGAAAGCAGCTGTGCAACTTATAGCGATTGATTAGAACTTCACTGTAAGCAGCTTAGTTTCTCACTGGGTCCGCTGAACAAGGTACAAGGTAAATTTCTGAGGGTAATGCAGGTATGAGCCTTTAAATAAAAACAAATGCCGCTGACTTCAAAGCTGAGGCACCAGCACTGATGAATTCCGTAATAAGTTGATTTATTATCAACTAAAATTATTTTTGAATAGTTGTAATCCTTTCAAAAAAGAGCACGTGGTCTTCCTATTTTTGCCTATATATTTCTTAGTCACTAGAAAGCACGACTGAAAAACCTGTGAAAATCATGGAGACATTATTTTGTCAATGCCATGTTGTGACATTTGTGATCTTTTTTCTTTGCTTACTTAACTGTTTTTTTTATTTTGTTATTTCATTTCTGTTCAGTGTGTGTGTTCGTTGTAATGGTAGTATAGTTCATCTCGTAAGTTATGTAACATTAACTTGTGAATACTCCCCTAAGGCACTTTGGAGGCCTAGAGAGATGCTAGCCATCTAGTCATCATGCTTCCCTTGTCAGCTGCAGAACATACTAAGTCTATGCAAGTGCTTGGCATAAATGAGTTTCATCAGAATGGCTATGCAGTTTCACTTTGTTGTCAAAATGCCTACGTGTTGGCTTTCTTTGCTGTTTAAATGCTGTTCTATTTGTTCCTAACTTCCCCTATTTAACAGCAGACAAACCCAGGGAGCACTGAATGACTCGGATGATCCCGAAACAGGCTGTCTAACTGATAACAAGCCAACTTCTCGACACTTCTATCCTGTCGCCTTGCTGCTTGTCAGCTCACACTTGCTGGTTGTGTGGCTTATTTTAAGTCTTGCTTTGCTATTAGCCAAATATCAATAAACTGCACTTGTGTTCCTTTCTTTTCTACAAACAACGACAAACTACTTTAGAAAAAATAAATTATGCTGTAACATTTCTACAATTTCAGACCTTAAGGAATCATCTTCAAGATACAAATGTCTGAAATGTACAATGTTTTCATTAATTTTCTGAACTCTAAGAAGTATACTATGCATTGAGTGAATTGATTTGCTCTTTCTGTTCATGGTAAAGCTTTCCCACTGTAATTAGCTCAAAGAAAGCCCACTTAAATGCTGTCACTGTGTATACGAAAGATGTGGAATCCTGAATGCTTGAACCCCTTTTTCCAGAGTAACTTGTCTGACAAAATTAAAAATGGATTTGCACAATACAGACTGACCCCCCAGACAAATTTTACAGGGCGGTGGTTTGTAAGACTTGCTTTCATTGTGTTATTTTCATTGATATTATTAGCTGATTGGATCTTATTTGTTCAAGAAATGATTCTTTCTTTGCTACAACTAACCTTTTTCTGTCGAGTAACTAAGTGGAATATAGCAAGTTCTGTTTGGTAGTTAGATTAACATGATTGTTATTGTTGCTTTAGTTGCATTTGCTTTGAAGACTCTTTTATATTCTTTTTTAAAAAGTCTGGTTTATGTCTTGATGCACCACTTTGGCACTTGTGACTTTTGTACTGTATGTGAACAAACATCCTTCCTTTATAAAGCAGAGATTTTGATTGGGCTGTTTGAAAAGCCATTCTCTCGTTTTTTCATTGCAAAGCTGAACATAGGGGAAATGATGCAGAGATGAAACTTTCCATCAGAAATCTGTAGGGCCAGACTTAATAAAATGCCTTATTCCTAGAATACGCATTTTTATGGCAACTTATAATCTCACATATATAGTAATCAATCTGAAAAAAAAAAAAAAAGAAAAAAGTATAATGTTTAAAAGGGAAATATATTTCTGGAATTAGAATGAAATGTATCGTTATTTAATTTTTTATTTTTTATTTTTTTTTAACTAAACTTTAAACCTCAAGGGCAAATATATTAGGGGGAAAAAATCTTATCACCTGTTTCTGAGGGCAATAACTGTACTGGGCCTGGCCTTAGATTTAATTTTGTAAGATGTATCATCACTTGTGGAAAACAAAAATGTAGAGTTGAATCTTTGTTATTTTTACTTCAACTGCTGCTGAAACTCTGCAATGAACAAATAAAGCATATTTACTTATTTTGTGTTTCATGAAGTGTACTTTTTCCCCCCTTTTACTAGAGAAGGATGCCGCATAGAGAATGTACTGAAGAATGTCAAATGCAGAAAGTATGCATTCAACATGATACAGCTGATGGCTTTCCCAAAGTACTACAGACCTCCAGAAGGGACATATGGAAAAACTGACACCTAAGTTTAACAAAAAATGTAATCAGGAACATATACCATGCTAATTAGTGAATATAAAAATTGCTGTTTATGACTTAATAATTTGGAATGTGTAACCAGTTGAGGTGTTATTTCGTGAGGTTTAACATTTTAAAAGTAACAACAGTTAGTCATCATGAAATAAAATATTGGTGATGTAGATATGCTCAAAACCAAATACATTCGACTTATCTTTGTGAACTTGAAGCTTAGCATGACTCATCAACCAGTTGGAATTAGGTCTTGGGGAAGCTTGATGGAAGATTAAAAAGGGAAATGTCATTTGCAATAGGAACTGATCTTATTATCAGTCTGGAGGGGAGCATTCAGACTCTGAACCAAAGCCTGAGATTTGAATGAAAGGATCTCTTCCTTCCTGAAATGACATTTTCTGGTACTGGCAAAGCATTGAGGTCATGATCAGTAATAATCAAATCCTCCGTGGAATTTTTCATGAAAAATGCAACTCTTAATACCTAGGCTAAATACAATTTTGGTCATTATGTTTGTCTTCTTTATATAAGCATGGTTACTTCACAATATATTTTTATTAATTACCGCCTGTAATTTCAGTAATTGAGTTCTGGTTTGTTGCAGTTCATTTGGATGTATCTTTCTTGGCTTTCTGTATCTGAGCCAAATACCACTTGTTTCACTTAAGCTTGCACATAAATCACACTGAAATCAGAGGGATTAATTCTTCAAGTAACTTCTACCTAACCTGTCGTGTTCCTGTTCACAGTAAACCCTTAAAACTAAATTTTCCTTAGTGATAGGTAAAATGACTTGTATATGCAGGCATTAATGTATTGTTAGGCTATAAAAATGTGTTTTTACAGCATCTGAGAGAAATGTTATAATTACAGTAACCTCTTGTATTAGGACTAGTTAGCTTCTGCAGCTGATTTATATGAAATTTGTAATGCTTATTTCTAGGATATTTCCAGCAGTTCTAGGATAAAGAACAGCTATGAGCTTTTAAAAAGTGAATGGTAGTGCTTCTGCCAGCTTGTGTTAGTCCTGAAATGTGTCCTGCAAAGAATGTTTGTGTTTTCTAATTTTCTCTATTTATTGCCTTCTTCTGCCCTCCCCCAGAGAGAAACACAGTTAACAAAAAACAAGTGTCCACTGGTTACTAACCTTTGTGTGATGCATTTATTTTAAGAAAAAAGTATCTAGAGCAGAAGTGTAAGAGTTATACTCAAATTAAACTGCATAGGGAATTCGAGTATCTGTAGGAAATTGTAGTTGCTATGGATGAAGTGTTAAATGTGGGCTTGCTTCTATAGAAGTCCGAGAAATCTTGATGCATAGTGAATTATAATTTTTTTTTTTCATCTATTAAGACCCGTTACTGGGTATAATTCTGTAACTGTACTAGTAAAAATTACTTGCTTAAGCACCTGATTGTGCAAGCTCTATTTGGTAGGTTACCTAGAAATTATCTGTTGTGAATAGAATTAAACCCTCTTGTACATTTGCAAGATGAGGCAAGATGAGGAACATGTAGAAGTACATCAGGAAGGGATTTCCTTTCCAATGCACTGACTTCAGTGAAGCCAAGAATTCACCTACACAACATATTTTCCTAATTGGAACATTTTTTCAAAGTGAAGTAGTTCGTTCAAAAAGGACTTTTGTGCAGTTGTTTCTTATTCATATTAAGTCTCCATTAGAATATTGTTTCACAAATGACTTCTTTGCTCTTCTGGAACAGTAGATGCCAGAAGAGCTAGCAGTGCATCATAGGCAGGTGATATTACAGTGCTATGACTTTTCCTGTCACGTACCAGTGGGTGCTACTTGGTGAATGTACGGATAAAATTGTGTGCATTTAAGTATTACACAGACAGTCTGCACAAAATTTTATTTGTAGGTTTGCGGAGCATAAATCTTCCTAGGAAAGCACTGTTCTGTTCTGGTGGTCTGACTGCTACTCTATACCTCACTTTGTTTCTGCTGTGTTTATTGCTAACTTACAGAAACAATACATATACAGCTGAGAAATAGTGGTAACTTCTTTAGGTACCTCTGAAATAATCCCAGTGATACACAGTAGAAATGCTGGCCTTCCTAAAGTGATTCTGAAACTGCCTGTGAAATCCTAGGCAAAGACAGTATTCACTTGTGGGTACTTTTGTTTCTTACAGTTCTTTATCCCAGCCCCATGGGAATTCTGTCAAATTCAAAATATGAAGAACTATAGATTTCTTTTTAATTAACAAAATAGTCTTTCAAGATCTTGCCCTCAGCATTTAATCTCGCTAGGGTTCCAAATTATTTTGACTATAATGTTACCTTTATATTTAAAACGTTTTCATCGATGAAGCTGTGCTTTTGGGGGGAAAAAAAACAACCACCTAACACATTGCAGTTCTTTTTATTGTAACAGGTACATCCAACAAACTTGATTGGGCTTGGGCTATTACAGAAGAGCAGGTTGGGTTTTGTTTTGAATAAGGCTGAGCTATTTCACACCAGTGTTTTCATTGGAACACAGTCTTTTTGTAGATCATTAAGACTATTTCAAAACCTGACGCAATTCCAAGTGTCCCAGAAGAGCTTTATTACTTCTGAACTGCCTCCTTCTGTACTGAAGGAGGCTTAACTATTTCTTCGTTTTGTCATTGCCTGCCATGGGTTCTACAGCATTTTATTCATTCAGAGCCAGTCTCGTCAAAACAGGGTTGTCAATTAATCAGGGATTCACAACTTGTGTTTTTCTGGTTTGTCTTTTATAAAGAAAGATCTTTTTGCTGCAGGTTGACAGTTTAATTGAAGTATATTCACTCTGCACAGAAGACATTTTAAGTCGTGTCTGTCTTTTGAATGCCCAGCAGAGGAGCTGAATCATCTCCTGAGGTCCATCTTGCATGAATCTTTGTATATCATTGAATTACACAGGAGTAGAATTCAGCAAGTAAATTTTCATTAGAAAGCTACACTGTTTGCACAGAGTTAGGGGAGACATACTCATTTAGCAGCACGTGTATGGGAAGTGTCCCATATCTGTTTGGCTTAAAACACTTTTTTTTTCTCCTAGATGATTATAATACTGTTAGAATTAATACAGAACACATACAGACTTGATATTATTATTACACAGGCAGATCTTTTTGCTTCTGAAGTCTTTTTTGGGGGAATTTTTAATATGTTTTTATTACTGTTTATACTTTGGCTTTTATGGAGCAATTAGGAAACAAATTTTTAATTGTTACTTGATTTTGCTGATGTGTACTTATGCATTTTAGTGGAATGCTGGAAAACATATGTGTTAAGAGGAACAAAATATACAAGAGGACAGCTGAAAGAGACAAACTATTACCTGGAAAAGAACCTTAATGATGATAAAAATTAACAAATGTTAGTTTTTGTACTGTTCAAATTTTGGCATTTTTCTTAAAATAGGGACATTAATACTTTGTGTAAAACGATCAATCTGGATTAAAATTCACTGATTGTAAGTGAACTAATGTGCAATGGTATTTTAAATAATCACTAAGAATTTAGGTACAAAGTGGAATGTATTAATTTGAAGCCCACTGCATATTATGCCTATTTTGACTTCCAGAAAAGAAGCTTATTCCTATTTTTATCACAAGTTCCAAGAAATGCTATGGCCAATTTATGAAAAGCAGGAAATGCATTTGACAGCAACAGGTATAATACATAAATTGCATTAAAAACTGCAGCAAAATTACTTGTGTGAATTAATGTTTGTAATCAATTAACAGACTTAAAACATATGTTGTGTGAGTTGGCTATGTTATAAACTCGAAACAATGATATCTTTATATTTATGCCTTGTTACTGTGAAAAGGAAACGTTTTGTACAGGCAATGCCGTGAGACATGAATTTGCTTCTTACCTTTCACTCATTTGCAGCTTAAAAGGATACATTTGCATTCAAAATGCTTTAACATAATTTACAGCTTTTTAAAACAGTCTTAGCTTGTAAACTGGATGTTAAAAAGCAAAAACTCACAGAACTGCATTTAAAAACAAGCAAACCAAAACCAGACTTCAGTCTCTGGAATGGTGAGATTTTTCCTTAGTCATGCAACCCACGAACTGTTGTGTTACCAGAGCATTCAGTTCAGGCTCTGCAGCACTCAAGTGCTTCTTTCTCTTAGTGTCATCTGAATAAGTAACATGCCACAACAATGTATTTCAGCATAATACTCACGATTCAGGATGAAAAATTTCTATTTGCTCAAAAAGAAGAATAAGTAGCAATTTAATAATTCAGAATTAAAAAAAAAAAAAAAAAAAAAAAGAAATTTGTGAACCAATGTGTCCATATTCCAAAGAGCAGAAGCAGAAAGCACGGGATTTGTTTGCTAACAGGGAAAAAGTTTTGAGTGTAATAGTTGAGTGCTCAGAATCTGGGGTTTGGAGTGGTGAGATTTGGGACAGTGCTGCTTTAACTTGGATTTCTAACTGCAGTTTTCTGTATTCTTTCCATCTGTCTTGCAAAGGGCTTTAAAAGTTTTAACAATTCTGTTTTGTTTATGAAGGGTCTGGCTTCAAATTTTCTAAAATCCCAAGTTACTTTGATACTTGTCTTCATTTGGTGTAGCTGTTCCTTGTAATGTTCATGTCTCACACTCTCGTGCACATGGGGCTCAGTATAACATTACCAGGATTTCCGTCCAGATTGTGTGTGCGTGTGTTCAGAGAAATAAAGCACAACGAAGCAATTCAAATCTTTTTATATGTCAGGATTTAGCATTTTTGTTTCATTGCTGTCTGTAAGCCATGCTCATTGTACACTGTGTGTATATTTTTATTTAAATAAATGTGATATTTATTTTTTATGTTTCTGACTTTTTTGTTACTCATTTTTCATTTTCATGACAGTGTTATTGCCCAGGAGGCAAGCCGTGCGTGATGCTGAGAGTGGGTTCCCTCCTTAAATAATTGGAGTAGTCTTGTCGCTGCTAGGAGCACACACTTACAGAAAGCTCCAGTACAGCATTAAAAGGCCTGAAATGGCCATAAATTGATTATTACCATTATTATTCCTAGTGTTACTGCAATTTTCATCTCAGAACCAGGTGGATTAAAACCAAACAAAACATTCACACACTCCCAAAGTAACCCCTTTCACGTAACTATTCATCTGTAGACAATTATTCAATGTAGCTCAGGTGGAATCAACATTTTTCATAATGAAGACCATTACAAAGGTGATTTGGCTGCTCTTTTGGGATTGTGAAGACAATTCCAGACCTTTGGAAAGGTGGATCTTTTGTTGGGATCCAGACTTATTGTGTGATCTAACTACTCCACAATAGGTAAGTTCTCGCTGAAATGCAGTAGAGATTTTCTTTTTGGAATATAGTAAAGTATGTCTTACCTTTTCTATTCTGTGGTTAGAAGCTTATAACACCATTTACTTTCTGCATTTATGCCTGTATATTTAGTTGCTTTACAGTGATTAATTCCTTGAGATGCTAATTACCTGCAAGATTCTTGGTAACCTTTAAAAAGCACTGGGAACTAATGGTTACTGTGGTAGTAAGTTATAAAACAGCTGTTAGCATTCAGCTTAAAAAAAAAAAAATCTGTAATCTGTCTCCTACTAATAAAAATGGCAGTATTTTAAAAAGTATTTCATATTATTTTTCATGCTTTCAGATTTTATCTTCTATGTCAACTAAAAAACCCTGCTTTTTCATGATAATATAACAGAAAAAAAAAAAACACAGAACTCTAATGGGAGTGGAATACTATGATAGTAAAAATGTATTATCATCATTTCCCTTTCCAAGGTCATTTGGGGCCATATTTGAGATTTCTGAATCATAGTCAACTGTGGTCTGCACTGGGGCAGCCAATGTTGGCACTGACAATTTCTAATGCAATTGCTTCTACTAGTCGAATCACTGAGAGCTCTGCTATCCACCTCCTGGTGAGTACTCTGTGGATCTCAGCCTTTAGTCATTTTGTGGCTGCTACTGTTAACGTGATGAAGGGCAACGAGGTTCTAGACAATGCTAGACATTGTCTAGACAGTGCACTGGACCGTGCTTTTCTGGCTTTACCCATGTAAGTCTACGCTTTGAGTTTTTGTGCAGGCGAAGAACTGTCCTAAGCCTGTAATTTTATAAGTCATATGCTTGCTCTGCTGCAAGAAGTGGAGAAGACAAATTGGTTCTAAATGAACTGGGATAAGAGGTTGAATTTTAAAAGCAGCTAATATATTTTTTTAATAAGCATATATGTATATTTATACATGTATTTATATATACGCTTCTTTAGTAGGAAAAATGTAGAATGGGAAAAGGCAGTAAAATAAATCAGTTAACAATTGAACTTGTTAATATTTCTAGCAGCCAAATGTATATTTGCTTTTGGAGGTCTTGCACAGATATGCACATGTACAGCTTTAGCGGGGCCTTTAAGTATGCCTAATGCATATGTTGACTCCAGTAGTAGAAGCTACTTTTCATGAACGATGAAAAGGGAGGGGAAGGTGCCCCGAGTGGCTCTCCCTGTGGTGTGTTTCTCAAACTAAATCTACTGTTTCAATCAGGAGCAGCTTGGAAGAGTTCAGGCCTCAACTGTCTGTTCCTCCAAAATGCTGCTGGCACTGCCTGGCATGCTGCGATCAGAAGTCTGCTGATGGGCTGCGATGAGGCTCTGTGCAGGAGTTTCTTTGGAGCCTCTAATGAAAAACAAAAGGTACACCGAAGGGTGACGCAGAAAGGGAAGGAAGGAGTGAATGTTGTCAGTGGCAATCACTGCCCAGAAAAGTTTGCCATAACACCAGTCTGCATGTGTGACACTGTGAGTGTAACAGCAGAGGATCAAGGGAAAAATACTGCTTTGTCTGTTTCACCTTTCTCCAGCGATGAATGAAAATCTCCATGGGTAACCTTCTTTCATGCAAGAATAATTTGTGGTTGCTGTGATTTATGGGACAAAGAGGCTTAAACTGCTGACTTGAACAAAATTAGAATTGTCATATATATGCACTGATTGTCAGAGCAGAAACCACCCTTTGGGTGGTATATCATTCCTTAGAGATTTTCTGTCAGCGTAAAGCCTAACAGATTTTGAAATAGAGAAAAGTTTAAGATCTGATCCTTAAGTCATCGTTCACAAGAGAAAGAACAGAAATGGGGCACTACACTTGAGAAATTAAAACCAGATTTTTAGAGGGGATTACAAAGCATTCACTTGCCTGGATTTGGGTTCACAGGGAGTTGTGTTCTGTTAATACCATTTCAGTACACATAAAAGTTGATGTTGCTTTCCTGTAAATTATTACAATTAATAGTTAACTAATTAACTTATACACAAATGAAAATATATAGACACCATTTTAAAGGTATATATGCAGCAAAACATTACAATACATATAAATGACTTGAGAGCTGTTTGATAGTAAGACATAGGTTTCTAACCTGTTTTGGCACTTATCAAATGAAAAGTGTATCACCAAATTAACAAATTTTGTTTTCTATGTTGCTACTTAAATCAGGGTAGAACACATCAAGGTAGATTCTCAGCACTTTCTATTTGAATTTAATTACTCTGAGATAGTGGGTTTTAAAGGAACGTCTGTAGAAGCCTAAGTTAATGAAATATCATAGTTTGACTTTTAGCAGTTTTCACACAAGACCAAAATATAAGGAAACAACGACAGAGGATGCGTAAGAAAGATGTTCATGAATTTGGTTGTCTGACCTTATGTTTCCAGATGCAGACTTGCATCTTTGTGACTGGACTCCAGCAGTCACATTCTGCTGCCTGATTTATAACATTACAATTCTCTCAACCAGGTTCAGCCTCAGTAATTCCAAAGGGAGCTTCTCAATAAATCTCACTCTTCTTACCTCTCTGTTCCACGCATGACTTCTCCATGTTGTGGAGCAGCCAGCCAGCATGAGCTCCTCCTGCCCCAGCCCCGGATATTACGCTGTGGCACCTAGACTCTTGTAAGTATGGCAACTCTATGGCTAACAGATAATGTGATGAATTTCAGATTTAAGATTATGGGATGTATGTCAGACACTCACCAGCTAAACAGGCGTAGGAAAATCAAGGAGCAAAGATATTTCTGAGTAGTGAAGAGCAGATAAGGAAGGTCATTTCTTAACCTAAGCTATGCATTTTAGACTGCATTAAATTCATCTTCACCTCAGATATTACTGAAGTTCGGATACTTTACTGCTTTATGAGTGTGGTAGCAGCTATCGTGGAAATACACTACCGGTTTATCAACATAAATATGGAAAATGTCCTTGAATAGATACCAAGATTGTTGAAGAGCAGTGGTTGTCTGGCTAAGCAGGTACCATACACGTACATTCTCATGTGAGCAAAATGATGTTGCAGAAAAATGATGACATTGCTATGTACACTCTCACGTAAGCAAGGAACCAAGGGAGCACTTAAGCGAGAAGATAAAAAGTGAGTGCATGAACAAATAAAGACAATCTTTTTTCCAGTGGTTTGTAAGCATTGTGTCTCTGGATTTCACAAAGATTAAAAGATCGTTTAGAGGTTAATTGCAAAACCTGACATAAACAGGTAGTACTTTCTTGTTTAGATAATTTAAATGTTTTTTACTGTTCCCCAGGAGCTTTGATGCAAAGCAGACTAATTATCACTCTGAAAGACAACAACAATTAAAAGAAAATAACCTCACAAAATATCAGTAAGTAATATTAAGCAGGACCTTTAATGGCTACTTTTAGCTCCTTGTGATTCATCACCTCCACACTTGAAACAGTTGAAGCAGTTATCAGAAAAATAAATTCCTTAAAATTCTGGAGTTTTACTTTTTAATACCAATAGGGAAAAAGAAGTGAGCATTTCAGATGGGTGGAAAATAGCAGCCGTTAGCAGTTTTCTGTATGAATCCAGTTAGGGTACCTAGCCATAAAATGCTGATAAGAGTTAGGGTTGTTTTTTTTATAAAGGGGAGGAAAAAAAAAAAAGTGAAGTACCCAATTTCACTCAATTTATATTTATGTGTTCATGGACATAGTTAATGGACATCAGCAGGGAAGACGTGCTCCCATACTTTCTAAAAATCAACAGGAAAGCAGTGCACAGAATGCAATTCCCTTTTGCATTAAACTTATTAAATCAAATCAATTTTTACGAGCGCGTAGGGCAGAGCTCTGGCACTTAATTCCTTTTGATCTTGTGCCTGCTAAATTCCATGTCCCACCGTGCTGCCATGCAGTCTATTTTTAACAGATAATTTGTTTGGACATCATTAAAAAGAAAATACTACAACTTCTAGCAGTAATAAGGCACTAAGCCCCCTGTCATGTTATTAACTGACTGCATAAACATACATAAGAGCATAAAGGGAAATTCTAGTCTAAAAAAAAAAGTAAAAAAATGCCCAATATTCTGTTCAAGAACATGAATCAGACTACGTACCCGATACTGACTGACACAAAGTCAGATTGCAGATAACTTTCACTAGTTTTTAGTGCTGAGTGCACCTTCCAGTTTCCATGGCTGTTGAACATCTGTAGAAAGAGAGTTCTGTGAAGTGATAGGGTTTTGAAGAGAAGATCTTGTGACTGAATCAATGGATTTGTCTCATCATCAGAGTGATGCTAATACAAAATTATGTTTTACTATGACTAGTGCCCTGAAGGGTGCATTTGCTACTCTTGGATCCTTTTCCCACCTGACTGCTACTTAGAGTGGTACAGAGTATTTTCTATACAAGTAGTACACGTGTCCAGGACTAGGGTTTTCGTGCTGTTTAAATTGTTATGTGATGAGAAAAGATTTAGAATATCTCAATTATTGATCATGCTGTGATTGCATTTTAGTTTCTTGAGTGTTTTTTGTTTGTTCTGTTTCTGCTGGGAAAGTAGTAATGGTATTTAGGATGGGTTTGCTAACTTGCAGATTCATATTTGGATCCTTGTTTCAGGCTGACTGTGGACTAAGGGTTTAAGTACCTTCGCAGACAAATGGCCTTTGAGCCACTGATGTTATGGAGCCTTAGCAATCACAATAAGATGACAGACTAATTGCTCTGCATGGCTCAGCCAGGGAGAAAAGGTATTTGCATTGCTGTGCCTAGAGCTGTGTGATCTAATAATCCTAGGTAGAAATTTTCATGGTTTGTTGCTGCGAGTCTGTGGACTATGGAAGCTGTCATAAGCCTTCGATTTTCTAAGTGTGATGATCTATTATCTTGTTCTGCCCACCCTCTTAGCTTGTGATCTTCATGCAGTCTGTTGTGAGAGTCATATAAAGAAATTTGATTTAAGAATTGGGTCAAATGTTCTTCTGTTTTCACCTTGTCCAACATTGACATGGAGCCAATACTTAAGGAACAGTGTAAGAGCAGGGCTTGTACTGGATAAGCCTCCTCGTATAGCTCTCCCAGATTCTGGCAATCAGTGATTTAGGGAGACCTGCAACAATATGTATATCGAGTGTTTAGGGCAAACATGGGGGGGGAAAAAAAAGATGGGGTTTGGTAAAGCCATGTAATGGGCCTTAGTTTCAATAGGGTTTATTTGGAAAGAAAAATTCCAGTCTTTATGGCTAATTTTTCATTAGTGAATTAGTGAATGAACTGTTATTGCTGTCAGTAATCTATTCGTGCAGATTTAAGTTGATGTTCTTGGAAAGGATGGCATTACAAAATATAAGCAGATGCACGAGAAGTGCCTTCTCTTAAATATATATGCTTCACTGAGTCTGAATCAAAATTATCCAGTCTTTGAACAGACCCAAGCACTATGAGCAACATGTAGATGTGATGCTACATAGATCTTTTTGTACCTCATTCTCGCCAACAGAATTTTTGGTAACATAGCCTCCTGCTTTTATTTCTTGTATGTATCATAATTAGGAAATCTGAATGGAGCACAGGATTAGGAAAACTGTTGTACAGAATTCCCCTTTGAACACTTGAAAAGCTGTTCAATAGTGTACCCTAAAAATTAAGTAAATATGGGCTTGACAAATACTGTGTACAAGTCGTGCTACCTGATGGATGACACCTCCAAAGCACAGGGATCAGATTCACCCAGAGAAAATTCTGCATTGTCACTTTGCCAATTGCAGATATAAAGCACTTCAGTAAAATGCAGGCGTTCTGA